TCAAGTCAAGTTGCATTCATGTTCGTGCAAGCGTCAAACACGCCGGGACACCCCTCTGTTCACACCACACACAATAAATTGACATGCAACTCGGCCCAAGACACAAGCGCGCGTACAGGATAGACAATCATCCGAGCTCCACACAGGTAAATTCGGAACACGTGTAGCACATATACTGCAGAGAGGACACGTCCTGCGTCCGGAACTTCACTCAGATACTCTCAACAAGTGTCCTCAAACGATAAGTCACTTTTTGGCTTATTCCACTTTACGTATTGTATTTATTTTTATCAAGTGCACCTAACTATTATATTCATCATCATTTGTTATTGTTTGTTACTTTCTGACAATCAACTTCATTACGTTACAACTAGAACGCTGACAGGCGTTCCGCCGAAAATTGAGCCAAATCTATGAATGGACCGCTTGGAATTCAATGAAGTAGAAACTTCGATTCTGGTTTATCTGAGAACCTCGACCTAATGGTGAAAACCAGCGGGATGAGACTTTTTGTAGTTACTCAATACTATGGTAAGCATAAATCTCATATGAACTGAAGACACTGGTTCCCAGATCTGCATCAAAAATAGCTCGTTTACTCGAGGAATAAATCACTTCAACGAAGGAACTGTAGAATGCGGGTTCATTGAACAAACGTAAGCTATAGTTCCTAATAAAACAACATATTACTATCTTTCAGTCAAACCTGACAAGCTCAGTTCAGTGAAGAGGGTGAGGATGTTTTGAGTCGGGCTAGATGTAAAGAGATTAACCAAGTTGGATATGCGGGCTGCAGTGGGAGTGTAAATGAAAATGTTACTTTTCGCCGGCAAAACTTACTTTAGGTTAATGTGCCAGATGGTTTGTTTTGCTCTGAGAGCTTTGACGAGCGCAAATACAGGTAGGTGACTTTAGTGTACTTAGGCGAAAATGCGGGCACTTAGTTTTGTGGTCAATGACTATAGAAGGCTCACACTGCCTCGCATGTATACGTCGAGGTTGAACAAATAACTCGCCATAAGTGAATTATTTTCGTAAGACAAGGGGGATACATAGCCCAGTATCCACAAAAAACCACATGATAATTATTTGTCCGGTGACCGTGTAACATGCACACAGTAGGCGGCTGGGTGCAGCAGTATACATTTTGCGTGTCGCCGATTCTTTGGGTGAAGATGGGGAAGTAATCGAAGAGGTCTACTAATCTTGATTCCACAAAACGCCAAAAATGGTTTTGCAACATTGTGCCTGACCTACTGTTGATCGTGTGTCGACAGTCGGTGAATGTTCATATTAACCATTGGATCAGCACAACCGTCGTGCTTTTGTGTGGGAGGAGTGTTCAGAGCAGCCATGTCTGAGTAGACGCAGTGTCTCACAGTGAAAAGAGTGATTCCCAATCAGTTTATGTCCATTTCGGACCGTCTCAGATAGAGGTTTTACAAAGTTCCAACCATGTTCTCCACATTTTTGTTCATGCTTATTCGGTTGTTTGTTCCGTGTTATATAACTTCCATTCAATAACGGACCCCTTAGACTTAAGTGAGTAATATTCGAGTTACAGACTTGTGGGAAGAAACGCAGAATGAAGTACCATCTCTAGATGTAGGGTCATATTCCCTCTGGAGCTTAGCATTCGTAAAGCACGGTCAAGTACCTAAAAAGACAAGATGTCTTGTCGTTAGTGTGATGGCAATGTTGTGCATACCACGACATGGACAGACATGACTCATTCAGTCAAGGTCTAGCTCAGTTACTTAAGAACCAGAGCTGTCTGCATGTGACGGTGTCGTCCGGTTTGCTTGTATTTTGGATATCGCACATCACATATTACACCAGCATGTTTATAGACCGTTGAGGATTTATGGTAAATAAAAACAAGATAATTTGAATGACGCTGAGGTTCGGATGGCCAACTGAGAAGAGACAAGCAAACATACTGAAATCATGTCCAATTCCGCGTGTCTATACTTTTGTATAGTGTCGTCTAGTGCGCTCTAATTGAGTAGCGATCGACCGGTAGCACATGAGAGGTAAAAAAAATCACATCACTCATAAGTTTGTCTTGAGGATTAGGCATATTTTCCTCCATTGTGTGCCCTGTGGAAATGTTCTGCAGGTGAATTTAGGCAAACTGATATCTTTGCGTTGTTTGGTCCACTATAAACCTATCTCGAGAGCAGTGCAAGTTTTGCTTTACGTCGGGGTGTGTTTTCGAATGAGTAGATTTTGTTTGATCAAAATAATATCATCTGTCCTATTATCTGGTTTCATAGAAAACATTTTCGTTAAACAACACAGATTTCTGTCGCTAGTTTTCGTCATTGACCAACTTGTGAACAGTTCAACACGTCTTCGGGGGTCCACTGGCTCTGTTGATGCTCTCCGTAGTACTGCATTTGTGGCTTCCATGGACACGCCTTAAGCCTGACCCGAAATCAAGTTCCCCTACTGTATCCATTTCAAGGAACCTCTAGTAAAGCACTAGGTGATCCTTATTGTTTCATTCGGTCGTCGAAATTCAGTGACAAGGTTTACCTGAGTGTTACTGCAAGTGTTCAGTATATACATTTACTACAGTGATGCAATAGCAAATACAGGGTGATGGCTTTAATTGTCTGAGCGAGAAATATCCCCGGTTCCCCTTGTTCTTGAGTTCTCTTTAGTGACCAGCGTCCGTGTACCGATTTGGCTTTTCAAACAGTAGCTTCATGCTATATAAGCTTCCCTCCAAATTCCCGTTTATTTAAGCGAATAAACGGAAAATCACGTTTGTTATTCTGATTAAAAAAGGACATAATTTAGAATAACCACAGGATTAACAATATAACGCCTAATTTTGCTCGTATAAACACGCCTCTTTCTCAGTTGAAAAGTGCCTGGAACCGATAGAGTGGAAAACTTTAGGAACAATCGGTGGATTTTTTTGCATAGCAATGCTTAACTTCCAACATATAAGCTTCGTCAATCTGAGTGACTAGGTTACTAGTTTGGTAGAGATGGATCATCAGCACATCCAAAGTCCGTGTATGCCAGTATTGCCTCATCAAAATCTACTCTAGTCAGAGCGCTGTGCACAGAATAGTCTGCCAACTGAATAGCAGCTCAAACCGAGATTGCCAACGGAATTCAAGAGTTAGTATAGGTAAAGTAAAGTAAAGTAGGTTAATTAGAAAAAAACGGGTGAAAATTCCAACCCGACTAAAGTTCACAGCTCATCCAAAAACATGGACGAAAAGTGAAAACGACGTTCAAACAGAATCTTCACATGAACCTAACCGGAAGAACTAGACCCCAAGCTGGACCCAAATCCATGTAGGTTTCCCCATCGATCTTAACACTTGTTGACCCAATCTAACACACAAAATCCCTTGGCCCAAACTTAACACAGATTTAGCTTAACTTGGCTAAGTGTTTCTCTTTCCGCCTAAAATCTCGACCAACCTCGTAACCTAATCACTTGGCCTGATGAAGTTTTTGTGCCCAAAACGAAATGCTGCCTATAAGAAAATCTCCCGATTGTTCCCAAACTTCTCCGAAAACAGCACCTCTTTCTCCGTTGATGTGCAATACCACACACTGACACCAGTAGCGCACCCCATTAGATTAGCCGGGATCAGTAGTAGCATGTCCACCCAGAAATGGTCAAACAGGACACAATTTCCGTCGTCTGCCGATGCCATAGAGGAGTGATGTGATAAAAACATGCCCAACAGAGCCTGCGCTATTTCTTTGACACAGTTCAATCCACAATGACACGCAGTACATTATGTGTAACGGTGTAAAGGGTAGTCGGGTAACGGATGATCAACGTGGAGTTTTGCTGCAGAGGTCACAGATTCACTAAGAGTCTTCGCCTGTAGCGGACATTTCCATGTCCCCTCAACCGGCTTCACCTAATTTGTCCAGTACATGCGTGTTTACTAGATCCTGCGGCTGACCTGCTATACAAGTCAGTTCCTGTCTAGTATGCATCGGAACGATTCATGTTTTATACACACGTCAAACTTTCCTGTATAAGGACAGAACACAATCAAACAC